ATGTTGGTTGACAATGTTTCAGGAACCTGGGGATATAGAAGCTGAGTTTGCGCAGATTGGCACCAAAGAAGTTCTTAAGAACTTTCTTGCATTCCGCATTCCTGGTCCATTATATTTTCCCAAAGGCAAAGGTTTTGGCTATTCTGCTGATAAGCCAACTTGGTTATCAGAAGACGATTTGGGCTATTACACCAAAAAGTTTGAGCAGACTGGATTCTCTGGAGCAGTGAATTACTACCGCGCTATGGGCAGGTACTTAGCTTCTTACTTCATTGGAAATCTCCATTCTCACTCTTCTAGGAAATCTTGTACAATCATGCCATATTTTCGAACATATTGTACCAAAGTGCAGTGCGAAAAACTGTAACTATTGCACAAATTAATTACAGAAATATGGTAATTGATTAACTAATCAAAGGGGTTCTCAACATATTTAATACACCTCCATGCATGTTTCCTTGTATAAATCACCACTTTATAATTTATAAACCAGACATGGAATCAGGTAAGTCTGATTTAAAGGTAAGGCCTCTGCTAGACATATCCAATGGTGTTTAGATGTGTTGTTATTTTATATCTGGATCAAAGCAATATCGGAAAGATTAATTCTATTTGTCATCACTGATTACAATCATCATGTTTGACTGACATTGAATGATAGGTCAAATAGCATGGTCCCCATACCCGTGCATTTAATTGGACCTATCAATTGACGTTGTGTTGCCACATTGATGATGGTCATTGAAGATGACATATAACTTTATGTTGTCGGAAAATTTTCGCACACTTTTCATTATTCAAGATTTCAGATTTCTAGACTATTGGACCGTTTTAACAATTTTTTGACAATTTAAACTCGAAGTTCAGAGTAAATTAATGTTCAGTTGGATCATCACATTCCTGATTTCACAGAAGTTCTTACATACACTATAATGCCTTAAAAGTTGAATGCAGAGTGATTTTTTAAATTGACAGTTCTAAATATGAATTGCAGGAGCTGGGAACTGAATGCCCCGTGGTCTGGAGCTCAGGTGAAAGTGCCAGCAAAGTTCATCGTCGGAGAATTAGACTTGATCTATCATATACCAGGGACCAAAGAATTTATACACAAAGGTGGGTTCCAGAAATATGTGCCATTGTTGCAGGAAGTTGTTGTGATTGAAGGTGCAGCACACTTTATCAACCAAGAAAGGCCAGATGAGATCAATCAACACATTTATGACTTTCTTCAGCAGTTCTAAACTCTCTTGTATTTGGAAAGGGTTGCTTTATGCTCATGTGCTATCTAGTCTGTGCAATTAATTGTTAAAACTACAGGTTTGCAACAAAAATCAACTTGTCGTTTCTGGAAGAGCGGTGGATTATAATGACTCTAGTTGTATCCTATATCTCCAAGTTACCACTTATGGATTTATAGCTACTTATGCACTCTTACAGTTTTAAGAATTAGTTCTCCCCAATATGGTTGCAACATAACTGCGAAAAAACATCACCTGTACACAGATAATTGCAGGACATCGAATGGAAATTCAAATACCCCAAAGAACTAATACTATAATTACAAAAACAGTAAACAAATTGTTTCCATGTTATAATTAGGGTTATTGGCGCAAAACGTCCATACCTTTGAAGGGTTGTGTGGAAAACATCCCAACGTTTGATTTTTTGGTGCGCAACGTCCCTACCTATCAAGTTTATTGTAGAAAACATCCCTACCAATCATTTTTTGGCACAAAACGTCCCTACCTTCTGCATTT